GAGAGCAACCTGCACTCTGCTTGGGCACCGTCTAACCCGTTTCTCTGCAAGTGTGGGGTCTATACACCCAACACGCTAAGCATGACGAGATCTTCATTAACGGAAAGCAGGCAGCACCCCAATTTATCTTAAATGAGAGAGAACTTTTCCAAAACTTCAGGGTTGAGTGAGGGTACCACTGCCCAGCACAGGAGGGGCCATTTGGCATGGGGAGTAGAAAGGCAAATCAGTAGGACAAGAGTTATCCTTTTGGACGTTAGCTCTTAGGTATGTTTAGCTGTTGCATTGAGAATACCACTTGCAAATATAAAGAAGTATCAGAAGAATCAACAGCCGAAAGTGAGACCTAGAAAATGCCTATTCCAAGTGCCAAATTCAAACTTAAGAAAAGAATTGCAGCTTAAGGGAAGTGAAATTCTATAGTATCAGATAAAAGGCAGTGAACGACGGGAAAAAGAAACAGATACAGACAAGTAATAGAGGGTTTGTGAGACAAAAAGTGGGAACATGATGTAGACTCTACTACGAACTACATTGCTATTCCAGATTTCAGTAAGTACCCCTGGGACTTCAGGGAGAGATTTTTTCTCTGGTACTTTTGCAAAGATGTCCTTGTGGGAAATTGGCCTTTACCAGGCTAGAGCAGTCCAGCCTCTTTAAACAGTCTTTCTGCAAATGTCTAATGCATTAACAAATTAATTTCTGAATTTCAGGCCCAATTACTGATAGTGGACATACAGTGTTCCCAGTAGAATACAGAAATGAGCAGCTTCCTCTCATAGATGAAGCCCTGACTATTGTGAAAAATTAACGCTATGGCCTTCTGATAGCATGTCCTGTGATGCTAGATTTTTATATTTTCTATGGTGCAAGTTCTGGCCTCTGTTGGAAAGGTGGTTTTTATATCACAGTCCATCTTGATCTCTGTTTAAGACACTGTGGTTTGGTATCTACCTTTAGGTAGCCAACTGCCTAATCTTGTTCATGTAATATAAATGCCGCAGTCTGCCCTAGTCAGAGGATGTACCTTCTTTTGAAAAAATAAACCATAAAATACATCTGGAATAATGACTTCATGCAGCAAGTTGACTCTTGAATCACGTTTGTTGATGGCTAATGCTGCTGTTCTCGTCTTCTCCTTCTCATTGCTGCTTTCAGAATTTCACCCAAAATGCTACTCCCGGAGAGAAAAAGTGACAAAAAAAGAATTACATTTAGCCTAGACAGCTCAGTCTGAAAATATATCATGATTGTGAAAGCGTCAATTAAAACTGACCCCAACTTACTCAAGAGACCTATACAATATGTGGATTAAGATCAGACATGCTAACTCCTGTGGCACTAGCAAGTTCTTATTTTCCATTGCCTCATGATAGACAGCACTGTGCCAGCACAGCAAATAAGAATAATCAGAAATAAGCTCACAAGAAGCTCATCTTTTAATTTTTTCATTATTAGGGATCACACGAAAGGCAGAAGGAAGCAGACTTCTGAAGATATCAGGGAAAAGAGTATTGGAGGGATAAAATAAGTAGCAATTAACTAAAAAATTGAGGTCCCTCCATCAAGACTCTCTAAGAGAAAGTAACAGACTGTGGTACCAGGTCTCAAGCAAAGAGAAAGAGCTATTCTGCTGATCGTCTCTTGCAGGTCGGACATATGAGTGCCCCTCACAAACAGGGAATACTGAAGGTGTTTGATGGTGTCTCTGAGCAGAAAGAAGTACAGCCAGGGGAAGAGAGAGAAATGATCTATAGAGAACAAACCTAGAAAAAGCAAATTTCAGGACCAAGCACCAGCAGGAAACTGATGTTTATAATACTTAAGTCATCTGTAAAGGAAATATTGCAATGATGTGTTATGTAAAGAGCAGAGTCAGGCCAATGCTTGCTTATGTGTGTTTTAAGTAATACGATATGACAGACCACATCAGATCAATGGTGCTGATTAATGAACAGCTCTGGAAAGGTAGCTAACAAGAGATGAAAGGGTCAAGACACAAATTTCAGGAGGGAGCAGAAGGAGGATCAGTGCCTCAGAATATGGAGTTATGTTCCAGGAGCCCATTAATCATCAGCATTATTATGTAAAGTACCACATTTTCTCCTGACTTTACGCCCACTGCAACTCCACTGAAGCCAGTATAGAATTGACCTAAACTGTACATCTTAAATCACAATCTGTAGTACATCACTGGTATCATAAAATGGACCTTCCTTAATAAAAACAGTTATACGATTAATGTTTCTTACACCCTCTAAATTACCGGATAAAGCTTGGGAAGAGCAAGGTGGTATAAAAGTGAGCATATATAAAATGTCCAAGTTATATCATTAGTGGAAATATTTAAGTAATAAGAGTCTGCATTTCTGGAATGCATTCATGCAGAAAACTTATCCTCCAAAATCGTAATTAAGCACACAGTACCTCATGAAGCAGAAATGTTAATGCTTTCCTTTTCTGGATAGAGGAGCCCAGGTAGAGAGGGGAGAAGTGACTTAACCCGATGTGACACAATTCATTCCTCTGTTGTCCTGCTTGCCTCTCTGTTTGTCCAATAGTCTCATGGTCAAAAATCCTTTTCCTCTAATTATTCCCCAGCTACATTAAGACTTTTATAAAAATTTGGGGGTCTTTCCTTCTCTGTTGCACTCCCCATGTCTTCTGGAGCACCGTCAGCTTTGTTGATCTTATGTACTTAAAATGTACCTATCAACTGCTGATGATCTCAGTGTTTTATGCTCATTACACTGCAGGAAAAGAGACGTATCTTCCTAGGCCATAGCAAAAATGATGGAGAAAACTGAAGATATTTTAAGTGTTGCCTTTCACAGAGATTTTAGTGCCCAGATTTTGTAGAAGACTTTGAACAGCCCATCTCTAACAACTTGTCTGCCTGACCCTTGATGTGAAGCCAGATTGAGTGCTAGGCAGCGCTACATTAGAGAGCCACTTGGATTGGGATCCCAGAGATTGGAAGAGCAATGATGACACAAAAAGAGAGGTGACAAAATATGCAGGATTAGTACATTCAGTTCTTAGGCTTCTCTTGTGTGAAATTAGGAGTGAAGCGAGCAGGAGTTCTGCCGAAGTAAAGACCTGATCCTGTGATTTTTCTGCTTCTAGCAGAAGTTAAAAATGCATGTTAAGTGAAGTACTGGGCACTCTTTAAGGGACATGGGATTTATGCCTTAAAAAGGTGAGCAATAGCCAGATCAAAGACAGATGGATTTGTGCAAAGTGGATATAAGAAGCAAGGTCAGCATTAACAGAACAGCCGGGGCATTTAAGAAAGTGGGAAGAAGAGCTTGAAAGTAAGCTGTGCTGAGTGTTAGCAAGGACTTAAATCTACAGAATCCTTGGGCGTTGTTGCACCTTTGAATTTCAACCCTTGGTGGTGGTCAAAGGTGTCACTGTTCTATGTAATTCCTTTGCGCTAACCTGATGCTGGCATATGGTTCTTCTCCCAAGCCCTGGTGAAACTCAGAGGTTCAGGCTGAGTTGAGGATTATTTTTTGCTTTTAAATATACTCAATCTGCAATTGAAAACAGACTTCAAGAGGGGAGAACCCACAAAAACTGGAATCAAAGAAAATGTTTGCTTGAGCCCCTGTGAAGTATATCTGCCAGATTTCATGTAGCCTGTTGAAATCAATATGTACCATATATCCTAGTCACCAATAAACGTCATCACTACAAAATATATAAATTGAACATAAACCCAAATGTATATTTTGTGAAGTACATTATTACAGTGTCATCTAAAATCCTTCATTGTGTCTGCTGGCGTTCATTCCAGTGTTCCTGCTGCACAAACAGTGGGATTTTTTTATTGTGTTGCATTTACAGACATAAATTCCAACTTGCACAGTGACATTAACTAGCTGTGAAATAACAATTACATCTCTTATCATTTTTTGTTCACCTTCTTGATTTCTTTGATAAAGCAAACATTTGCTTTTCTTGTCTGATCAGAGTAGGCAAAATCATTTATTTGTGGAAATAGCACCATTGGCTTCACTGTGGGTAGGACTGAATATGCTGATGTCCCAGCAGTTCTTTGCATAAGTGAAGTGAGCAGGATTTAATTCTGTCCCTGGATGTTAACTTCAGACATACTTCCAACATCCACAACGAGCCACCCAAAGATCATAAGAAGTTAGCAAAGGAGGAGTTCTGTTAGTCTAGAGAGGAATTCAAGTCCCCCAAAAATGTAAATACTCCCAAAAACTTGGGTATGCGTGGTGAAATCACCCTCTGATAAATATTGGAGCTGAGGTTTTTCTTTGGATCCCTTTCTGTATTAGTCCGTTGAATCCAACTCCCTCTTCAGCTCAGGAGATTTCAGACATAAAACTGCTGCTGAGCTGAATCTTTCCTGAAAGGCTGACAATAAGTTATTTCACCGGTCTCACTGCAGTAGACCTGGTGGCTGATGGGAGATAAGTGGGGTTTCTGCTTTGATGTGAGCCATCATTTCTGTGATGTAAAGACAGCAAAAGAAGGGAAGGAGGATTTTGCCTTCCTTTTTCTGCCCTTCAGCCCCGAGGAAGTGTTTGTTGCTGCTCTGAACAGGACTAGCCTTGTTGTTCTGATGAGATGCACTTGAGTGCCAAGTTTGTGCTAGCTCTCCATCACTGCTCCGTGCTCATGCCATTAGAGTGAGCAACTTCTCAGAATGAATCCTACTGATAGCGCTTTGCTGGCTTAATCCTCCCTCTCCTCCCCACTTCACCACAATAGGTTGCATGGGCAGACTGGGGTAACCGGGGACTGGCTCTCTTGTCATTTCCAGCTGAGGCTGGAGGGATTGGAGTGGGAAGAATTCGGCCCTACCAGGCTGCAGCCAGCTGTACTGACAGCGGAGAATGCCAGTTAGCGTTGCAGCAAGTTTTCTTGCTCTCAGTAAATAATTATTATTTCCCCCTGACCTTTCCTTTTGGTTCTTTCTGGTACAGACACAGCCTCTCTCTGTTCCCTGCCCCAATGAACGTCTGCACTAGGTCCAAGGCTTGGAGTAATTTACCTGAAGAGTGATACCATTTGGAAACCACTGTAAGTATATTTTATCTCTTATAAAAGACTTCTTGTTTCAGCAAAAAAGACATCTTTAAAAAACAAAAACAAACTGCAGCACCTGTGAGCATTACTGATGAGGGTTAGCTAAGTTTTGCTTTTGAAATTTGCAGGGAAATATGTGGGCAAAAATATGTCAATAAAAAACTGTTAAATATTTAAGTCGTAGCCTCACAGCATAGTTCAGCAATGGCTGGTTTGATCTGCTTCTATCTTTTAGTTTGGCAGGTTCTCCCCGCTCACTGCTCTGGTTTGTGCTGTTCTAGTTGGTTCATCTATGTTTGTCTTCGGAGTGTTTATCTTCTTCTTTATTCTCACTACTTTTTAGTGAGACCCCTTTCCACCCGTCGGTGTTTCATGCAATACAGATTGAATTTACTGCAACTCCTTAAAGGTTTATGCTGTTCTTTCCAGGCCTTGAGTCATTTGTGATTTAAGGCCATAACAATTTGGTAGATTTGGCTGGATTACATAGGTAAAGTTGCCTGAGAGAATTTTAACTTTGTGTGGTGGTTTTATTATGCTCTGAAATTATCAGTTGTGTTATTCTTTCCCCCTGTAGAGCTCATAGTTTTGATACTTTATGATCAGTTGTCAGTGCTTGCCAGTATTGTCATGGTGTTAGTATGGCCAAGATGCTCTAAGGTTGTTTTGTAAGCAGGGCCTAACTTTCCTGAGACTTGTGGTTTAGATGGAAAAAAAGGGCAAATTTGGGGGCGTATAAGCCCCACTTCAGGTCTGAAACAGACCCAGCAAATTTCAATCTTAGTTTAACTTAATCTCTGAGTTTAACTTAATTATGTTAATCAGTCTCTTGTAAGGGATTTTGGAGGTTATTTTACTTTTCTGTGTTGATTAAATTTTCCAGGCTTTTATTGCACTAGAACATTGGGCCTCTCTTGTCAGTTCTCCATGCCTCCCATTCTTGCTCTGCAGTTTTCTGCTGGGATTTCTCTTTCGTATTACATTTTATGGCGATGTTTTCAGGAGTTTGTGTTTTCCATTGTATGACACAAACTTGCAATCAGAGATTTTAAACAAACTGCCAGTCATGTAGCTGTAACAGCATGAAGATCAATGTGGCTGCAAAATCATCAGAGAAGCTGTGTGAATATTCAGGCAGTCAGCCTGAGCAGGACTTTTAACTACTGAAGCAACACTTCTGGCAGGAAAACTGGGATGGCTCAGGTGGTTTAAGGTGAGCTTGTCTCAGGAATCTTCACCCTCAGCTCTGGCGTTCAGTGCGCCCTGAATTTTGAGGTGAGGTCTCTGGGCAGATTTCAGTGCTTTTTGCTGTTCTTTTGGGCTTGTTTTTATATATATATATTCACTGATTGTACTCATCTCTCTCTTTCACTTTGTCAGTTTCTAAATATGTATTGTCAATGTCATGTCTGGAAGAGACACAACACTGGCAGTGATAAGCACTGATATCAGGAGCTGTGTTAGTCGCACACAGGCAGAGGAAGAATGTGCAGCAGAACACTCGGGGAAAATATCGCTTAAAAATCCAACATGAACTATTTTCACACTCTTAATTTTTAGGATCTAAAAAGCCAGGTTGGTTTTTGGTTTTTTTTTAATTACATAGAGTCTCTGTGAATTACTAAGGTTACAGATGAACTGTACACCAGTGAGTTAAGTGCAGTGCTTGGGCACTACAGGCATCTCTGACCTGAGGGCAGTTACTGGAAGGTGATGCCGTATCTGTGAGGAGGAGAAATAATGCCTGGAACATGGGTGGGCAGACTCAGCCAGCAGCAGCACTTGTAACAACATCAGCAACCCTGTGGTGTGTTCCCTCCGTGCTGTTTAGTATGCGATGAACAAAGGTCTGGTTGGTGACCCAGCCCTCCCTGTATTCAGAGGCTGAAAACTGCCTCATTATTGTTCATTATGTAGTATTATTCTCATACAGTCACATTATCATAGCTTCCCCTGAGAGCCAGGATGCTACTGTGGGTTCTGCGCAGCTACGCTGGTTCCTGTACCTGAGCTAATTTGTTCATCGCTAACCTGGTGTCTCTGCAGGACGGAGAGCTGTTCCCTGTGTAAGGGAAGGTTCAAGCATTAGTTATAGCCACTGTGTGAGACATACAACAACATGCATTGCCTGGTTTTGACAGAGATTTGATTTGGTGGCCCAGCTGTAAGAACATGTTCATTCATTGAGGGGAAATTCATTCCAAACTCAAGTAATGGTTGCAAGGGAGATACAAGCAAAGAAATCGTGTGGAGAGCAGGCAGGGGGTTGGGGGAAAGAATGATGAATGCGTAAGTGGCAGCAAGAAGGGGGAAGTGTAGCGGGGCTTTTAATAGCAATTAGTTTCTAGATAGCTCTGAGATTAGGACATCCAAAATATTCTCCATTCTGCCTCCAAAATAAGGAGAAAGAAGCCTGTTTTGTTTTGCAGCCAGTGCCCAGATCATTGCAGTAGCTGCAGCGTTGTGAGTTGTCCGCCATCCAAGACCTTTTTGTATGGTAGTGTAGCGTTAAGGTACGTGGAAAGGAGGGAATGCCTCACTGCAGTGAAGAGAGTGACAGAGGAGTTTCAGAAAACAGAAATAAAAAGATGGCAATGATTGTAGGTCTTGTTTTACATATGAACTGGAGAGCGCTAATATGCACAGTTTAGTTCAGGGATGACAGTGGGTGCAGTTAGCTTGATACTACGTACCAGACAGAAGAATCAAGAAAGGAGTCAATATATTTTAAGTGGTGTAAATGAACGTAGTGAGAAGTAACACACTAAGTATAAGGGAATGCTGAAAGTGAATATATGTAAGAGAAAAGTAGCTGGACATAGGATAGAAAATTTAAAAGATGGGGTGGGTAGGTAGGATGTTTAGAAACAGCCTGAATAAATCTCTTATAAATCAGTAGTAAATATGAATTCTGCAGTGGTCCTCAAGACTTAGATTAGCTTAGAAACGTCAGCATCTTTTCTGTCTCCAGCTTCTGGGAGTCTGTGCATCAGATCCATACACAGAAGTGCCATCTCTTTGCTATATTGGCCTTCTGCTGTCCTTCACAAGAACCAAAGATAATGGTGGCCCTCTGATAATTTTAAGAATGAGTGCAGTATTTGGAAGGACTTTTAATACACCACAGGTGTATGTGGAGGAGCTCAGAAGTAACTGGAGATCAGACTGGAGCCCCTTGCTCCAAGGGCACATTCCCAAGTCTATTGCAAGTAAGTTAAGGCAACTTTTATTGCCCTTAGCAACAAGTAAATAGCAAACTTCTTGTTTCCAGGAGTAGTCTGTAGAGAAGAACACAATCACACAAACTGAAGTAGCAAGGTAGACTGACCCTCACAATTGAAATAATGACACAGGACTGTCCATCAATGAAGTCCAGAGGTGGTACAGAAACATCTATAATTTGGGAAGGTTCCACAAACAATATTTATTACTTGTTTCATTTTCACTCCTACCCCTGGCACTTTCAGGGTTTTTGACATACCTAAGACAAGTCATACTCTTCCACAATTAATGTGCCATTTTACCTTCTGGAACATGAAGATATATTAGAGAGCTTGCTGATGGAAGTGTTCAGAGAAGAGGTGTGCAATCAGAAAAAAATTAGGTTGGGAGGGTCCTCTGGAGGTCCCTAGTCCAATTCCCTGCTCAGAGCAGAGCTCACTTCCAAGTTGGATTAGGTTACTCAGGGCCTTGTTCAATTAAGTTTTGAAAATCTCCAAGGATGGAGATGCCACAACCTGGCTTGTCAGCCTGATCCAGCACTTAACAACTCTCAGTGTGAAGACTACAGCAATAAGAGAGCAAGAGAAGGAGACTATGTAAGGGCACGTAAGAATATTTAATTAGAATATATAGGTGAAGATCACAGCAATAGAAGCTTTTTATATGGGCGATAAGGTAGAACAAAAGCATAGCATTATACTTACAGCAACAGGAGGATTTTTTCTGGTTTTGCCAATTGTCCTTTGCTGGCAACAGCAGCCTGGCACTGAAGACTGGAGAAGAACCCCGTTTGGGTTTCTTCATAGGTAGTTTTGAACACAGTGTCCCCAGGATTTTTCTTTTCTGAAAAGTTTCCTTTAGATCCTTAGCTGACTTGGCTGTTTCCCTTACTCAGCCTTCCTCATGTGGAAGCCTGCATTCCTTTCAGGTCATACTGAGATGCAGAGCATGTCGGAAGACTGTGAGAGAAATGGAGAATTGCTGTGGAGAGGTATTGCCTCTAGTGTCAGTCAGCACCATTGCTTCTCTTCCCATCCTAGTGAGCACACGTCACCAAGCTGCAGGACTCTGATCTGGAAAACCGATGACACAAGACCGTCTTGATAGCATAGTGTCAGCCTTAAGAGCCAAGTAAAAAATAAATGGGTTTGGAAAGGAAGAAGCAGGGGGTGCTGTGCACAGCCTCACTGGTGTCACTACCTGTTACTAAAGTATTTTTTAACCTGTCCCTCTAATGAGTTTTGAAGGCCTGGGAGGCACAAACGGGACCAGCCACACAATGAAGCATCAGTCAGTGCTTGGTCTAACAAAACAACTATGGCTGTGCTAGCAGCCGACAAGTGGTGTTTACTCAGACTGAGCCCCTACCTGCAAATAACATCCTGCACAGGGGAGGTGGCTTTGTGTGTGGATAGAGCTGGAGTCAGAGACTGTGCGCCAAGTGTGTAACTTGGGTTAAGTCTGAGCTGCAAACAGACCTTAGATACCGCAGTTTAGCTTCCAGGTGTGAGGGACTTCACTACCCCACACATCCAGAGTCTAACCCTGTAGTCTAACCTACATACATCCTTCACTGCCTGGACAAAAAGCCATGCTATCTGAAAGTTTCTTGGGTAGCAATGCTGTAAAAAACCCACTGGTTTGTACACAGATTCCCTGCAGCCACCAGTGCGCACTGGCTGCACATGGGAAAGTCATGGGATCTGGAAATGAGGTGTGTGAAGGTGTGCCAAAGTTTGTATGCCAAGGATTGACGCAGACTCGCAGACTGTTATGAACAAAACATATGCAGTCCATATACTTTAAAATGTACGTGCCTATGTACAAGCTCTGCATCTCATGCATCCTCATCCGCATAGCAAGAGATGGATCCTGGTGACAGAACGGGGAACAGACGGAAGGATGCCCGAGCTTGGAGTGATGAGATGTTCTGTTTACTCTTCAGGAAAAAAATATGCTTTCAAATGGTTTGATTTTCCTTCCACTTAAAATGAAGGAAGCCCGTTGCCATACCTCTACAACTTTAAGTAAGCTCCATTTAGTCGCCCCCTATTGATTTAGATCAGATTAGACTTTAGCCCGGTATATTTTGAGCATATTGATTATATATATATGGAGAATAGAGCACCAGTACCATCTGCCCGTCCCGTGGTGTGGGGATTTTTAGCCCTGGTAATCCAAAACCACATCAGAGCTGCCAGCAGCTGCGGGGTCATCAGCGTGACCCTCTGTTGGCAGTGGGTCACCTGCAGAGCTCAGGTCCCCTGCAGCACCCCCAAAACATCTGGGACCGAGCGCCTTTTTCTGCATTTTGGCTGGCCCAGGGCATCCCTTCAGCGCCGGGCAGCCCAAGGCAGGTGCCAGCAGCCGGACGGGCCCAGCACCTCCTGAGGGACCTTTGCAGGAGGGAGGATTTGTTTTATGTTGGCCCGTTTAACTAATTTTTTTTATAATAATGTAACCGGCCGGGGCGAGGGGCTCTGCTCCTCCTTGTCCCCCTCACCCCCGCGGGAATGGGGCTTTTCTTGCTGTAAGATCGAGTTGCTTAAAAATTGAAAGGCTAGGCCAGTCCTCAAAATTCATGTTTTGGTGTGTCAGCCGCACGCTGTCCTAGGTGGGATGCAGGAGAGCAGGGCGTGTGGGGAAAAGGGGCTCCCGCCTTGGCCCGTCAGGAGGAGGGTCCGTCCCCATTGAGAGGGACTTTGCCAGCAGATAGGGAGCCAGGACCACACGTGTGGGGCCTGGGCAGATTCAGAGCAGGGCGGCCTTGGCTCCAGCGACACTTCCATGCTCTGGGAGGACCCTTGGTCGGGCCAGACGCTGCCCCGAAACCATGGCTGTCCAGCAGTGCGAGGTGCTGCCTCAAGAAGGGTCTGCTCCCAGGGCAACCTGCCTCTGCTCGCACCTCGGGTGTCAGCAACAGATAATAGCATTTTATTTGGATGCCTTCGGCCTCCCCGGCTTCTGCTTCTCTCTCATAAGCGTGGCCGCAGCCTCCCCAGCATGATGGAGGTTTACCCGGGTGCCATGGCCACGTGCTGGGTCAGGGCAGGGGTGTCCCCAGCTGGAGGCTGCAGCCCAAGCTGGCTGGGCAGCTACCTGCCTTGGGGAGCAGAGGAGGGAGAGCCTTCACCTGTAAAATGGAGGAGAAACAGTGAGATGTGGGTGCTTGCCTCCCCATACAGAGTGCTTGCTGCATGATTCGAAGTCCACCATTCTCTTTGTGCCTCATTTTATCCATCTGTGAAACAAAAGTGGTGATTAACTACCTGCTTAATGTTCCTCTGAGGCTTAATGCCTTGTGTTTCCAAAATGCTTGGAGGTCCTGGATGGAGGGAGGTGTTAAGAGCTCGCATGCATTGCACTCATAGCCCGTTGTTTCAGACTCCAAATCTTCATGCATTACTTAGATGACCTCTGCATCTCAAAATTACTTCAGTGCTTTCA